CATGTCGGCCGTTTTTATGTGTGATAACAGAACCTAAAATCGAGGTAAGGCTAGGCCTAGCCAGCAGCGTTGGATAGGCTAATGTTTTCGGCGCCTACGATATTTCTTCTCACGACCTATCGCAAAAAAAAGGAATGTCTAAATTCAGTTAAACTAGCAATTCCGTATTATATTTATAAATCTTTATAACATTATACAAAAATTAGATTTTTCTTAAAAATTGAAATTTTGCCGGGAATGGGGCTTTAAGGTAGTGTCACACAGAATTTTTTTTTTTTTTTTTGCTATCCTAGGCCCCCAAGCCTAGGCCCAGGCTTCTTAAGCCTAGAGATTTCAAAAACTCCATTGGTGCCAAGCCAAATCTTTGGCAAATGCCATAACAGACACTAAATTTTACATAAAAGATTTGTTTGTACAATATTTATTTTAATACTGGCATTGTGGTTCCGTAGGCTTACTGCTGCAGTGCTAGGCTAGGCCAGGTAGGCCTAGCCATACTAGACTAGGGTCAGGCCTAGGCCTAGTTATTAGTAGTAATACTTAGGTTAGACTAGGCCTAAAGCATCTGCCAATTGAAGCGTAGGTCGTATTATTTGTCTTCATAGTACTTTTTTATTATAATATTTAAAACATTGTTTATTATCTTAAAAGAACCAAATAAAAACATGTATGCCTACTATACTACCGATCAAATCGTCTGTGATTTCTGTCAACAAGCACCATGTGAGGGAATAGATTTTTTTTTTTCTGCAGCAAAAAAACACAATTGTAATGTTAGTGGCGCACTTCAATTCTTGTTCCCTCTGCTGAGGATGAAAAAAATGATCGATTTTCCTCTGTTTTTAGTCGATTTTTATCACTTTTTGACAAAAAAAAAAAAAGAGGCGGCTAGAAAATCAGGGTCGGGCGGTGACGCTAAACAAGTATATTTTTTTTAGGCTTAGGCCTAGTAGTAGGCTAGGTTAAAATAATGACAGTGTATATGCTGGCACCAGCGCCTGGTGTATACATCGGTATAATGCCAGTCTACAGTATTTCTCTGATTGGCTAATGTAAATTATGACGTCATCTATCCAAGACCGCCGTGAACGAAGGATCGGGAAAGAAACACAAAAAGCCAAAACACAGTGGCTGATGAATTATCTACAGGCTGGAGATATTTTTTTGGGGATGTCAAAACAAAATCAGAATCAGAATCAAACTAATTTGTCCTTTCAGAAATTACAATGGAACACAATTGCTGTACACTTTCACAAACGTAAACACACATGAAAATAAAACAAAAACAAAGCTTAAACTACAGAATATATATAACTGGCTGTCCTGCAGCCAGACTATAAGTTGTTAATTAAACGAATGGAGTATTAAGGCAAAAACGAATTGAAAAATCTTGAGGTTCTACACATTGACATTCTAAGCCGCCGTCAAGATCTTAAATAATTGCATTCCGTGTGGAGTGGGTGATTGGCGTCGTTCATGATGAAGATCGCTTTAATTAAATTATTTGGTTTTTACAAACGTCATCAATGGAAATCATTTCATCAAACAATTTGCAAGCCTTATTAATAATGACTGGTAACTTTCGTAGGTCCCCTTTCCTCATTCCACTGTACCAAACCAAACAACCATACAACATAACACTTTGCATTATAGACAAGAAAAATAACTTAAGTAAAGACTTACAGTATCTATAATGAAACCATTTAGATTTCTCATGAAATATAATCGGCTATTACTTTTACTCAAAATAGATTTGCATTGTTCCGACCAGTTTAGGTATAGAACATTAACATTGATCCAGAGTATTAATGCCTCGTGTCGGTTTGTCCACAAATTTATGAAACGATGGGAGAGCGTGTGCGATGTCACTTTCACGGTGAATAACGTCTCCTGAAACAAATTTTGGAGGGTCAGGTGATTGTTCAGATATTTCATGAATGGTCTCTGAGATAATATTGGTTGTATTTTCCTTGTTACCACCAGGAGGAATACTACATCAAGCTCGTTAATTTCGTGAGGCAAGTAGAAAGGACGAAAAGACACACATAAAAGTTCAGTATCAGCATTACAATCTGTTTTCTTCACAGTAACATTGTTACACCAACGATTGTTCACGAACATACATCCATTGATATTTGAAGAATTATCGTTGATTGAAGAGCGAAGCCAGGTTTCGCTGAAACAAATGAGACTTGATCTTTTGTAGGTGTTTGGTGCAACCACAAACTTCGTAAATTTTATTTCCTAGTGATCGAACATTACTTAATAAAGTTATCATTGGAAGTGGTAGATGAGGACCAGTTCTGCTTTGGCGATGTTTTAATCCACCTTTCCTGCACTGTTTTTCTTGTCTTTGGTGGAGTGTCATCTCTCTTAGGAACCCAGTCCAGTAGTTTTAGGCTGTGGGTTATCTCGGCCTGGGACGCGGCTTGCGACGCAGCGAGTGTGGTTGGCGGGATAGCAAGCAGCAACAGTGTATCCCGATCAAAGCTTACCCTACGTGAGGAAATGCTGAGAATAAAAGTGGTCAAAAAAAAAAAAAAAAAAAATCAACTGGCAAAAAACAATAAAAAACAATAATCAACTGGCAACAAGTGACTTTCATCGCTACAAGAGAATGAAATAAAACATCTGTTCAAAAATACAATGCTGAAAACGGTTAAAGAAAAAACGGAGACAAATAATGATAAATGTAGCAAATTGAGTATCTTGATTGCCGATGAACAGCGCCACTGTCGCCGATGAAGAAGAGAATTTGAAGAAAACCAAAAATAAAGTAAAGGAGGCTGAGAAAAAGACATGTCAAGACATTGGCGAACAGAGACAGATTCCTAGTGTTGGTAATGACCGAAAATTGTGCTTAGTTTAGATAGAGCAGACCTACATTCTTATTAGCCTAGGGCAGGCTAGATAAACTTAGAATAGATCCATTCAACCACCGCGATTGTAGAGCAGATGATATGGTGGTGCAGTTTTCTTTAAAGGCAGCACACAGTGATCGTCTTTATCGATAGACTGCTCTGACCGAGACAGACTGTACAGCCTTACTTTACATACCGTGAAAACTCGAATTGAAGCCCTGAGCTTCTTTTTTTTTGCGAAATTTAGATGGGCTTCTTTTCGAGATGGGCTTCTTTTCAAGATGGTCTTCTTTTCGAGACTACTTTTGCAAAGTGAAGAATGGGGTTTCTTTTCAAAATGGATGCTGTAAACTTTGTGAATTTGTACTATAAAACAATAAATAAGTTATCTGTATCATGGAGTGTATTTAACTGGCATTGAATCACCTAAAGTACTGTATAAACCAAGCTTGTATTTAATTTATTTTGTTTTCTGAAATTCATGTACAGTGTATATACTACTATGTCGAAAGGAAGCCTATGATATCTTGAAAAGAAGACAAATGGGTTTCTTATCGAGGCTAATTTTGCAGACTAAAGAGGGGGCTTCAATTCGAGATGGGCTTCATCTCAAGATTAAGTCCAGTGGGCTTCAATTCGAGGTTTTACGGTATCATTGATATACACAGTGTAATTATAGGCCTTATGTATTTTTTATAGGATTTTGCTTTTGTTCAAATGTGTTTGATTGTAACCTCATCTTGTATTTTTCATTTAAAGTCCCCGATTGTCGTCTTCATCAACCTGATTTGTTTTCTGTTCAGTTTTGTCGTGTTTGATTCTTTCACCATTTTATGACTTTCATTTTACTTTTTTTTAAATAAATTTTTTGTGGAAAGTGACTGGTTTGGCTTGTCTTTGCAACAATTATAAAGATGATGATATTGACTGTTAACTCACAATTCTTATTTTGTCTATATTTTATCTTGCAGGTGTCTTATTGGAGATGAGGTAATGAACCTTTTTCTTTTATAGTGTTTGCTTTAATCAAGAAATATAATAATTTTGACGATTCTTATAGAAATTGTCAAATTCTTACGCTAAATATGAGCCAGATTTTATTGCTAGTGGATATTTACCATATCTATTCAAATAAATGCCCCGGGGCATTTATTATGAGAAGGGTTTTTGAAGAGGTGTTTATTCGAGGAAGGCATTTATTTATTTTTTTTTGGTGTAAAATTAGGTATCCCAATGAGAAAATTTAAATTTTGTAAACATTAGATCTACAGTAACTCACTGGATTGGATTGGATTTATTTGGTGTAAGCACCAAGGATAGCTCACGAAAGTCTAGAAGAATACTTATTTCCAGTGGGGTCCTTCTGGTGGTGATTGGACAGTACA